GGCGTGGCGTGGCCTAAGAAAAAACAAGAGGCGCTTAGCAGGATCTGAGGGTGGCTCTCTGACGTCAAAATGCCACCCATGTGGAGGGTCAGTGGTCCTATCCAGTCTTAACCAGCTCAGCTCAAACTAGACACAGCTGACTCCAAGCTCCTGGAAGACAACTCGGGGAAACATCTTATTGTGGAGGCTCCGTGCTGCTTGGTTGACTGCAAGTCTTAAATGACCTTGATTAGTGAAGGCAGGTGAAATGGGTTTGACCAATAATCACCCAGTTTTACCCCCCCCCATCTTTACATCATTCCTCCATCTCGAGGGAAGAGGGGGCGATGACTGAATGTAATTCCTGCCGAGAAGAGGCATAGGGCTAACACAGCACTGTATTCAATGAACCAACTATACTCCAATTAAAAAAACAAAAGCATAGGGCTAACCAAAGCTTCAGGAATGCAACTGTTTAGTGCTCACTTGAAAACACTCTCTTGTTCCCACTTTCAAGTTGATCCCAAGAAACAGATACCACCTACGTGCCAGCAGTCATAGGCCCAAGATTGATCACTGAAACGGCGGACAAATACGTACCCTGAGGGGGCACACACTGTTAAAATGCAGGCTTATTTTAGGGATTTTATCTAGGACAAGGTCAAGCCAGTTATCAGTATCTTACCTTTTTACATATTGGAGAGTCCCAATCATTATCAGTTTGGCTGAAACACTTAAATATGGAAGGAACACAGGCTGGGGAAAAATAAGTATGTTTTCTGTCCTCACCTAATATAACCTTGACCGGGGTAGACTACAGTCTTTTTTTTTTTTTACATCTGAGGTCCCAAGGACCAAATTTCACCTTAGACAAGGAAAAACACGACAGGAAATTCTGTTGAGTAGCCTAATCTGATATGTTACAGTGAGGTTAGGGACAGTCAAAAAATTAATGACAGGTACTTCCCTGGTGGTCCAGTGGTTAAGACTTCATGCTTCCCATGCAGGGGGCTCAGTTTCAATCCCTGGTTGGGAAACTAAGATCCCACATGCCTCCTGGTGCAGCCAAAACAAATAATTAAAAAAATAAAAATTAATGACAGGCAGGATCAAGGGGTCAGCATGATCAAATACAGAAAAAGGTTTTGGATGAAATATCCAACAGCTAGAGAGAGTACCTGCTTTTGCCCAAGTATGAGAAGTCCTAATCATTGAATTGTCCTTGCAAGCCTTAATTTCTTTTTCTGGCTTCTTTCTGAAAAGCCGCTTAAGATCTGTTAGGGGTTCACCTGCCCACTGGGAGAGGTCAGTGTAGGGGGTCTGGAGCCAGCCAAGGCTTGGACGATCTCGGTCGACAGTTCTCCTCTGCAGTATGGTTTCCATTTCCCATCACGTTCCACACAAGGTCCAGTCTAGGGACAATGAAGCTGGTCTTCCGGATGTTTACTCTTCCAAGATTTCAGTCTAGAGGGTCATCTCCTCCAAGAGCTTCCTAACATGGTTTTGCCACGAATCCAAAGTTGGGGATCGAAATGCAGCAGAACCCAGCTATTCCCCGGAATCCCCACAATTGCCTCCTGATAGTGGAAACTGCAACCCCGGCTAGAGCGTCCCTTCTGTCAGGGAGCAAGTCTCTCTGTCCTTATGAGAGTTCAAAACCCAAGTATTTAACAGAGGGCAGAGAACTACGCCCTTTTCTTGGACACCTTATAGCTTCATTCAGTCATAAAGTTCAAAATCAAAACTGCATTCTGGCCTCAGGTGTCCTTTGTTTTACTGGCAATCAGAACGATACCATCCACATACTGGAACAGGGCTCCCTCGTTTAGTTGAAGGGCCTTCAAATATTTCGCCAGGATTTCTACAAACATCATGGGGGAATTTTTAAGTCCCTCAGGACTTCCTGTCCAGCCACACTGTTGTTTTACCCTTGTATCTAGATCTTCCCGTTAAAAGCAAACCATTCTTGGGGTTCAAATCTCAAGGGTATGCAAAACAAACAAACCCCCAAACCTCCTTCAAATCCAGTTCAGTAAACCACCAAAATCTCTGGTGAGCAGTAGTGACGAGAGTGTACGGATTAGGGACTACTGGATGAGTATCTTCCACAATTCGATTAATTGCTTTTAAGTAATGCACAAACCAATATTCATCTCTACCTGGTTCTAGACTAGTAAAACTGGAGTATAAGGTGACTCGCAGGGACGCGTTAAATCATATTCGAGGAAGGCTGTTAGCAGGGGATGAATTCCATGCTTTGCCTGCTCCTTCACTGGGTACTGCATGAAATTTGCAATTTTTGCCCCAGGGCTGAGCCTCAGCTGTACGGGTGGAGCTGTCTTTGCTTTTCCCAGCCTCCCATCTGCCCAGACCTCTGGACTCACCTTCTGCAGTACCTCTTCCAGAATGGCTGCCGGCTGTTCCCTTTGAGGTCGGAGCAATAGAGCCTGCGATGTACAAGCTGCTCTGGTGGAATTGTGGTGTCCACTCCTCCAGGTGCAAAGGTAACCTTGGCATTTAGTTGGTAAATCTCATCCCGGAAGGGGACTGGGGCATTCAGGCTTGTCCAGAAAGCTATGCTTCAGATGGGCCCTCCTCCACCTGAGAGTCTAGCAGCTGGAGAAAAGGCTTTTTCAGGGTTTCTCCGGACACCCCAGTTGCTAACATAAGACACAGAACAAAATTTAGTAAGTTTTGTATTTTAAACCGAGTAAGTGGCCCCCTGCCATAATCACCCAGGGCTCCATATGGGAGATACTGAGACAGTCGGGATTTAAAGGAGCCTCTGGGCCCTGTCTTTCGTGGTCACTGTCTTTGTCAGTTAACTCTGGCATCTGATGTGCCACCTGTTTACCTTCTTCAAGAGTCTTACTGGGCTTCCCTGGTGTCGCAGTGGTTGAGAGTCCGCCTGCCGATGCAGGGGTCACGGGTTTGTGCCCCGGTCCGGGAAGATCCCACATGCCGCGGAGCGGCTGGGCCCGTGAGCCATGGCCGCTGAGCCTGCGCGTCCAGAGCCTGTGCTCCGCAACAGAGAGGGCACAGCAGTAAGAGGCCCACGTACCGCAAAAAAAAAAAAAAAAATACCGATGAAAAAATATTTTCCATTATCTCTGGGTCATCTCTGGAAGGTGGCACACTGCCCTTTCAAGGAAATAAATCCGAAGTTGCCAAGGGGGGATGGACCCAGATCCACCCCCTCAGCTGCCCAGTCTCAGTGGCCACACCCCACCTGGGACTTACCTGAATGGATACTGCCCTGCCTGAGAATGGGTAGCTCCCTGGCCAAATCCAGTTCCCTGCAGGGTATGAGCGTGTAGACCATGCCCACTTCTCCATCCTCAGAGACTGGGAGGGCACCCTCCCCCCCCAAGCCGGAGGCTGTGGCTCAGGCAGCAGCAGCGAAAGAGCAGGGGCGCCATCATATGGGGGCGGGGGAAGAGCAGTCGGGGTGCCCAGCTGAGCCCACAGCAAGTCCGCCTCCTCCTAATCAAGCAAACCAGGTTTCTTTGCCTTCCCTTCCTGTTGGGCCTTCATCTTCTCTGCATGTGCTTTATTTTGATACAATAAGGTAGAAGACTGTACATAAGGTACTTCATCCCATTTTTCTTCCCATTTACAAAATAAATCTAGTTGCAAACTTGTACTGTAACCTAAGGATCCATTTTTAGGCCATTATGCTCCAGAGTCTAAAGGATATCGTGGAACAAACAAACCAGACCAAAAACAAGACCGATCCCAGCGCCCCGGGCCTGCAACCCAGGTATGGAGCACCTGAGCAGCTGGAACCTTTTCTATTTTCTACCAAAATCCTGCCAGGTGGGCCTCCACCCTCCCCCCCCCCCCCCCCCCCCCAATCCGGACGGGAATGCCAAACAACCTAGGCACAGGCGTGTTACTCACCCAGAAGACGTCTTCCAAACCCAAAACCGTTTCTTTGCTGCGAAACAAAACTAGGCGCCGGAGGCCCGCAGCGTCTCACTGAGGAAACCCGGGGCACAGTCCCCGGAACAGAAGGATGAGGCAGCTGCTTGGACTCAAAATACCAGCAAGGGGCCGACCAGCCACGGGCGAAAGGTCCGTCTGGACTCACCCCCGGCCGGCTCACCATCTTTGTCCCCGAACCTTCTGCGCGACGTGCAGCAGGCCAAACCGCTGAGACGCCGAGGTTTGCAGCACAGAGGGCTTAGTCCACAAGGCAGCCACGCGGGGAGACAGAAGAGAAAGGCTCAGACCCGCCTCCCGGAAGGCAAGATGCTCGGGGTATATTATGGGATGACCAATAAAGCAGCAGGGTGGTCCGAGGCGTGGGGAGCGCGGGGATAGGTGATTGCGAAAAGGCGTGGCCATCGTCATCCTGAGCAGGTGTGGCTCAGCTACAGGCCTCTGCACCTTCAAAACTGGAGGGTGGGAATTCCCTGGCGGACCAGCGGTTGGGACTCTGCGCTGCCACTGCAGGGGGCACGGGTTCCATCCCTGGTCGGAGAACTAACATCCTGCAAGCGGCGTGGCGTGGCCTAAGAAAAAACAAGAGGCGCTTAGCAGGATCTGAGGGTGGCTCTCTGACGTCAAAATGCCACCCATGTGGAGGGTCAGTGGTCCTATCCAGTCTTAACCAGCTCAGCTCAAACTAGACACAGCTGACTCCAAGCTCCTGGAAGACA